GCACTGACCTCTACATCGCCGAGGCCAGACGCCAACTCTCCGACACCACCTCCTACCGCCCCCTTGATCATGACCCCACCCCTGAGCACCAAACCATCATCTCCCAAACCATCCACAACCTCATCACCTCAGGTGACCTCCCACCCACGGCCTCCAACCTCATCGTTCCCCAACCTCGCACTGCCCGCTTCTATCTCCTTCCCAAAATCCACAAACCTGAATGCCCTGGTCGACCCATTGTCTCCGCCTGCTCCTGCCCCACCGAACTGATCTCCAACTATCTCGACTCCATTTTCTCCCCCTTGGTCCAGGAACTCCCTACCTATGTCCGTGACACCACCCACGCCCTCCACCTCCTCCAGAACTTCCAATTCCCCGGTCCCCAACACCTCATCTTTACCATGGACGTCCAGTCCCTCTACACCTGCATTCCCCATGCAGATGGCCTTAAGGCCCTCCGCTTCTTCCTGTCCCGCAGGCCCGACCAGTCCCCCTCCACTGATACCCTCATCCGCTTAGCCGAACTCGTCCTCACACTCAACAACTTCTCTTTCAATTCCTCCCACTTCCTACAGACAAAGGGGGTAGCCATGGGTACCCGCATGGGCCCAAGCTACGCCTGCCTCTTTGTAGGTTACGTGGAACAATCCCTCTTCCGTACCTACACCGGCCCTAAACCCCACCTCTTCCTCCGTTACATTGATGACTGTATCGGCGCCGCCTCGTGCTCCCACGAGGAGCTCGAACAGTTCATACACTTCACTAACACCTTCCACCCCAACCTTAAGTTTACCTGGACCATCTCTAACACCTCTCTCCCCTTCCTGGACCTCTCTGTCTCCATATCGGGCAACCACCTAGAAACCGATATTCATTTCAAGCCCACCGACTCCCACAGCTACCTAGAATACTCCTCCTCCCACCCACCTTCCTGCAAAAATGCTATCCCCTATTCCCAATTCCTTCGCCTCCGCCGCATCTGCTCCCAGGATGAGGCATTCCACTCCCGTACATCTCAGTTGTCCTCGTTTTTCAAGGACCGTAACTTCCCCTCCTCGGTGGTCGAGAACGCCCTCAACCGTGTCTCCCACATCTCCCGCACCTCATCCCTCACACCCCGTCCACGCAATAAAAACCAAAAAAGAATCCCCCTCGTCCTCACGTACCACCCCACCAACCTCCGGATCCAACGCATCATCCTCCGACACTTCCGCCATCTGCAATCCGACCCCACCACCAAAGACATCTTTCCCTCCCCACCCTTATCTGCTTTCCGGAGGGACAACTCTCTCCGTGACTCCCTTGTCCGCTCCACACTCCCCTCCAGCTCCACCACACCCGGCACTTTTCCCTGCAACCGCAGGAAGTGCTACACCTGCCCCCATACCTCCTCCCTCACCCCCATCCCAGGCCCCAAGAAGACTTTCCACATCAAGCAGATGTTCACCTGCACATCTGCCAATGTGGTATACTGCATCCGCTGTACCCGGTGTGGCTTCCTCTACATCGGGGAAACCAAGCGGAGACTCGGGGACCGCTTTGCAGAACACTTACGCTCGGTTCGCAACAAACAACTGCACCTCCCAGTCGCGAACCATTTCAACTCCCCCTCCCATTCCTCAGACGACATGTCCATCCTGGGCCTCCTGCAGTGCCACAACGATGCCACCCGAAGGTTGCAGGAACAGCAACTCATATTCCGCTTGGGAACCCTGCAGCCCAATGGTATCAATGTGGATTTCACAAGTTTCAAAATCTCCCCTCCCCCCACCGCATCCCAAAACCAGTCCAACTCGTCCCTGCCTCCCTAACCTGTTCTTCCTCCCACCTATCCCCTCCTCCTACCTCAAGCCGCACCTCCATCTCCTACCGACCAACCTCATCCCGCCCCCTTGACCTGTCCGTCCTCCCTGGACTGACCTATCCCCTTCCTAACTCCCTACCTACACTCACCTTTACTGGCTCCATCCCCGACCAGTTTGTTTCCTCTCCACCTATCCTCTCTTCTATCCACCTCCCACTCTCTCCCTATTTATTTCAGAACTCCCTCCCCCTCCCCCTTTTCTGATGAAGGGTCTAGGCCCGAAACGTCAGCCTCTCTGCTCCTCTGATGCTGCTTGGCCTGCTGTGTTCATCCAGATTTTGACACTTGTTAATGTCAAAGAGGCGGAGTTTAGTGTTAGGGGCGGGGCTACTGGTTCGAGGTGGGTCTATACCATGAGGAATGGGGCAGAGGGGGGGGTTAGATATACAATGGCTGGTTCCAATAATAAAGGGGGGCTGGAGGTTGAGGACCGGTTTAGATGGTAAAGGGAGTAGGTAGACTTCGAAGGGGCGGGGTTAGATGGTAATGGGTGGGTCTAGACATCGATGGGCGTGTTTAGATAATAAAGGTACTCAGATAATGAGAATGAGGGGCGAGGGCGGGGCTAGACGTTTGAATGTGGGCGGGGTCTATGGTGCATGGAGGGATGGCCGAACTGTCCATGACGTCAAAGGGAGCGAGACCAGTGTGGTGGGCGGGGTGTCTGGGCCGTCACGTTATAGGGGCGGGTCTGAAGGGGCGGGGTGTCATTGTTAGTGACGTTCTTGTCGGGGCGGGTACACCCTTCGTTGACGTCTAGGGGTGGAGCTATGGGCCGGGGGGCGGAGCTATGGGAGGGGGGGTGGAGCTGTTTGTGACGACGCCCGTGGGGCGGGGCGGTCTGGAGGGGTGGTGAGAATTGCCTCATTTAGGGGTACCCCTATGAGGCAGGCGGCCGGTAAGTGGTGTCTATGTGTGTTAGCGGCCGGTGAGAACCAAGCTGGAGCCTGGTATCGAAGATCAGCCAAAGAATACCGGTACTATGGACACACCGCCTCATCCCGTCAAACTTTATGTTTACGACCTCTCCCGGGGGCTGGCTCGACAGTTTAGCCCCATCATGCTCGGTGAGCTTTGTAAAATTGTTGCCGGGATGATGGTGGGGGAAGGTGGCAGGAATTTGCAACTCGAGGTTGGGGATTGGGTAACCTTTACTAGGCCGCGACCATTATATTTTGTTTTCAAGAATATAAAATCTTCCACTTTATTTTATTGAATGTTTATACTAGCTGATTTTGAATTGAAAGTGAAATAATTCTTGCATGGCAATAGCTTTACCTTTTGATATCTTTTCGAAAAATATACTCAATCCCAGCTGATGTAAAATTCATCACACTTTATCCCATATCTGATGTTTAATTTTCCCTTTTTTGACTTCGTGCTCAACTTCCAGGCCTATGTGTTTTTTCTTTAATTCTTTTAAAAGTCAAGGTTTCAAGCAACTTTCACTGGCTTCCAGCAGGTTTCTCGAGGGGCAGAAATTTGATAATGGCTTTATCAGAAGAGGGCAACAGAAGGGCTAATGTTTTGTTTGAAGACCCTTGGTTGGGATTGTTTTGCTTCATTCTAGAAGTTTCTGCTTGTACAGTTGCACTTCAGGGAGCAGAAACAAATCTTTGGCCTACTTTTCTATCTTTATAAAATCACACACAAGGGAACAAAATCCTCCTGTGCCTGACCCAAAAATCCAGTTTCCTATTATGTTATGAGCTGAAACTGGAACCAGTTTTAGAGATGGTCTTTGAGGCACCACTCCACAGAGATTCGAGGGTTGAAGGTGACTTGTGTAACTAATTTGCAGTTTTCTTGCCTGAGTGTTCACAGCTGCTCTGTGTGTGTGTGTGTGTACAATATAGACATTGTGTTCAGTAACAATACGTGAAAGAGGAACAGCTGTTTGTCCTGACTGACATTCCACTCGACCATGGCTATTCAAAGCAGTCTGTCTTTATCTTATTTCTGATTGTGAGATGATGCTGTCTTTGTACTTACTGTTGATCACAATCTCTGAAGTTCAAAATGAGTTATAAAATACTTTCAGCTGTTTGAGGGCTGTAACACAAGCAGAATGAGACTATTCTGCTGATCGTGCCTGTGCCAGCTCTCTGAAAAATGTTCCTAGAAGCCCTCTTTAAAATCTTCTCTTGAAGTAGCCTTGAAAGTACTTGTGGATTGTTTTCAACTCCTAGCTGGTACAAGCACTTCTACATGCAAAGAGTGCTTCCTATGGGAGGATTGGGTCTCATCTGAAGGTGATGCTTTATGAATGAATTGAAACAAGATTGACTTTTGTCAACCATGGGAAATATGGTGTTGATGTAGAAGCTTAGTCATGATCTTGTTGAATGCTGGGCAGGCCCCTGGGGCTGAAGGCCTATTCTTTCTATTTCCGTGTTCCTGTATGGGAAAAGATAGGTATGTGTGGGTTGCAGGTCATCCAATACCTCACTGGAAGGTAGTGGAGCAGGTTCAAGGGACTGAATATCTTTGTCCAGTTCTTAGATTTCCCATTGCAATGTTTCTGAATAAAATCAGAATTCTCTTGCTGGTGATCTGACACATAGGCTTACAAGTCGCCGACTCATCAACTAGCAGCCTTTGAACTCTGCTGGTTTTCTGTCTTAAGATCCTGACTACACCCACAATGATTGTGAAGGTCCATTGGCCAAATGTATCTTGAGCACTGACACTGAGGCAAAGTCCAGTGTATTTCCTGAATTAAAAACAGAAGTTGCTGGAAAAGCTCAGCAGGTCTGGCAGCATCTGTGAAGGAAGAAGTCAGAGTTAACGTTTTGGGTCCAGTGACCCTTCCTCAGAACATCTGCAGTTCCTTTGGTTTTTATAGTGTATTTTCCATGATCTGAGCTACCATTAGTTCCTGAAAACAGGACATCGGTAATGAGGTTGTAAATTCAATGCAGTAAAGTTCTAATCTCCAAATGTGTCATTGAACTGAATTCAGAATGCCAGACCAATACCCTGGGTACATGGTGTCAAATCCATCATGACAGATGTTGAAATTTGAATTCAGTAAAAAGCTAGCTTAATGGTGACCATGTGACACTATCAAATATTGGGAAAAAAAATCCATCTGCTTCTCTCTGAAAGAAACCTGCCATCCTTACCCAGGCAGCATCTGGAGGAAAGGAGCAGTCAACATTTCAGATATAACCCTTCTTCAGGACTGGATGCAGTGGTAAGGGCAGCTGCAAATAGTGGCAGGGGATTGGGGGAGCGGTAAGAGTTAGAATAGCCCATCACCACCATCCTGCCTCCACACCACCACCCCCCCCCCCCCCCCCCCCCAAACTGCGGCTGCCCCTACCCCCACATCCAGCCTTGAAGAAGGGTTATATCCGAAATGTTGACTGCTTCTTTCCTCCAGATGCTGGCTGTCTTGCTGTGCTCTTCCAGCCTCCTGTTTGTCTCCCTTGGATTCCAGCATCTGCAGTTGTTTTTTTCTCTAACTCTTGCCCAGTCTGGCCTACATGTGACTCCAGACCCTTAGCAATGTGTTTGACTCTTAACCACACTCTGGGCAATTAGAATGGGCAATAAATGCTGGTGCAGCCAGTGACATCTACAAAAAATCATTATGGGCAAGTCAATTTAAATGACTGATAGCAACCAGAAGATGTTGTCATATCTCCCTTGTTATTGTTTATAGTGTTTTCTCTTCTTGCATTGCCATTTTCCAGATGAAATGGGGAAGTAGACAGGTAAGTGTTGTCATTCCAACCAGAAGGTCCATTGTCAGAACTTGACAGTAACACGGTAATTTCAACCACAGGGTGTATTTACATAAAATCCTAATGGTATGGAAGCAGGCCGTTTGGCCCATATAGTCCACACCAACCCTCTGAGGAGCATCCCACTCTAGCCTTGTAACCCTGCATTTCCCATGGCTAACCCACCTAGCCTGCACATCCCTGGACACTTTGGGCAACTTAGCATGGCCAAGCTATCTGATCTGCACGTCTTTGGACAGACATGGGGACAACATGCAAACTCCACACGGCCGCCTGAGGGTGGAATTGCACCCCGGCCCCTGTTGCTGTGAGGCTGCAGTGTTAACCAGTGAGCTACCATGCCACCCTTCAACATAGTAAATGCCCCAAGGTGTTTTGCAGTTGCACGTTGAATAAGGAGGAAATTGAGATTGTGAATTTGAGAGCATTCCAGAGCTGAGGGCCAGGCAGGAATGGTGGAGTGATTAAAATAAGTGGCACACAAGAACCAGGATTAGAGAGTAATGTGGATATCAGCAGCATTCTGGGGCTGGTGGAAGTTAGAGTTGAAAGGGTGAGGACATGGAGGTGTTAAAAACAATTTTAAAATCAATTTGGATATGGGCGTGGTGGAGCAGTGAGCGCAGATTTCAAGGGGTTTAGTGTGAATTTGGATATGTGACAGAATGAGCTCAAGTCTAGAGTGCAGGTGAATAGCTGGTCATGGGGGCATTGGAATACTGCAGTCTAGATGTAAGAAAAGAGATGAAGGTTTCAGCAGCAGATCGGCTGAAGATCCGATGAGATGGAAATGGATAGTAAGAGCTACGTTTGTGGAAGCTCATCTTGAACAAATCAGATGTCATGGTTACAAACTCTCTGAATTTCGACACGTGTCCTGAATAGATGAAGATGCAGAGAAGCTGGGCATTTCAAGACAGCAGTAGATACATTTTTCTGACTTTGGCTTGAGTGTAAACCAGTTTGAGGAGTGTGTCAATCACCTAAATGTGACCTATTTGTATTTCTTGGACTGCATTGCTTGTCTGCTGCTGAAACTTGTTATCTCACACTCAACTATTACAGCGCACTCCAGGTGGTCTCCCACATTCTAATCTTTGTAAACTTGATGTCATCCAAAACTCTGCCTGTGTTATTAATTCAAAATCCTGTTCCCGTCACCACCCCCCCCCCCATCATCTCCCTGCTCACTTGTCCCAATTTGCCCCCAGTCTTTATTTTAAAAAGAACCCCCAATTTTAAAAACCCCCCCCCCCCCCCACCTCATGACTCACTTGCCCTATCTCTGTAATTTAGTCCAGCCACCCATCTGCTTTCCTGATTCTAGATTCTTGTGCACTTTCAGTCATAAATGCATCACTATTGGTGACCATGACTTCAGTTGCCTTGGTTCTATGCTGTACAATTCCCTTTTCTCACACACACCACAAATAGGAGCAGGAGTGGTGGGGCTTTTGGCCCCTCAAGCCTGCAAGGCCATTTGATGTGCAGCTGATGGCTAATCAATTTCTGCTGTTTGCTTCCTGCCTATTCCTACTCTTTGCTTCCTGCCTGGCAACCAGTTCTCTCTCTATGCCTGGCCCTAATTCCATGCATGTTCTGATCTCTTCTGTGGGACCTTTTAATTGAAAGCTTTCTGAAAGTCCAAGTAAACCACATCCAATGCCCCTGCCCCCCAACACCACCATCAATTTCATTAGTTATAGCCAAGAAAAATTCCAGTGGATTCGTCCAGTATGAGTTCCCTTTCATAAATCTATGCTCACTGATCTTGTCACTGTTTTCCAATTGCTACACTATTAAATATTTGTAATGGACTTTCGTATTTCCTCACAACCAGTGTTAAGCTAGCTGCTAACGAGAACCATCTTGGGTCTGTTTTTGTTTTTCCTCTTTATATCCAGAAGTGCTCTTGCAACATCTGAATGTTGTTTTTTCCCCCATTAAATCACCGTGACTTTGTTTTTAAACTGCCAACAGCCACCATTAAATCAGTGTGTACTCAAGTAGATATTTACATGGCAATGCAAAACTCAAAAGCGAGGGAGACCGGCAAGCAGCTAACTGGGTCTGCTTTATTTTCTTGTAATCATATCCAGGAGTGCTATTAGACACAACTGAATGTCTTTCCCACCACCAAATCATCTGTGACTTTTTCGTAACCATTAACTGCTACTAGCAAAATCACCCATGTATCTGCTTAGAAATTTACATGCAAAACCCATTACAGACAATGCACACAAAGGTATGGTGGGATAGGGAGGGTGGAAGGGGCTAAATCAAAATGGTTGGAGGGGGGCTGGATCTGTTTTGTTTGTTTTTCTAATCACCTGTTCAGCAGTGTTATGACATACTTCTAGAGCAGGTGGGACTTTAAGCCAGGCATTCTGATGCAAGTGTAAGGACACTACTTGTTCTGCTTTATCTCATGTTTTTATGGGGAGGTCCCACTGCCACTGTTCACCCACAGTTTTGCTCTGCTCCCCCTCCAACTGAGCTAGATCTGGGCCTCCCTCCTCAACCTTTTATTGGTACACTTTACTGCTGCCATTCACCGCCAGGGTATTGTTTCACTTCACAGCTGCTCTGACTGGCTTCATCACAATGCTGAGGGCACGCTTCCTATCTAAATCTCTAATGTGGCACCTTATCCAAATGCCTCCTGGAAGTCCAAATGCAATATATTTACTGGATCCCCTTTATCAACTTTGCATCCTTGAAGAACTCCTAGTGGGTTTGTCATACATGATTTGCTTTTTGCAAACCATGTTGACTCTGATTTCCCAAATGTCGTCTTATTTCTTGCTTAATGGACTTTAGAATTTTCCAAAGATACATCTTGGGCTAACTGGTCTATAGATTGCTGCTTTCTGTCCCTCCCATCTAGAACCAGGATGTCACATTATTAGTTTTCCAATAGGTTGGAAAATGTTGAAATTGTTAGATTGCCTTGAGTGTTTTTGGAATTGCACTTATCAAGGCAGGTGGGAAGCATTCCACCAGACTCCCGTTACCTGTGCCCTGTAGATTATGGATAGGGTTAGAGGTGATAAGAGCAAAGTTAGTCACCACAGAGCTTCCAGTCTCTGACCTATGAATACAGTATTTGTATGGCTGGTCCTCTCTTCCTGGTCAATGGTAACCCTCAGGATGTACATAGTGGGAAGTTCAACGATGGTAATGCCATTGATCATCAAGGGTAATGGAATGGTTGGACTCTCATGTTGGAGATGTTTGCCTGGCACTTGTGTGGCATGAATGTGACTTGTTACTTAACAGCCTGAGTGTTGTCAGGTCTTGCTGCATGTGGACATGGGCTGCTTCAGTAAATGAGTTGCAAATTCCACTGAACATATGCAATCATCAGGGGTCTGACCTTGTGATGGAGGGAGAGTCATTGAAGAAAAAACTGAAAATGCTTGGGCTTAGGACACTAGGACACCATTTTTAAAGACTGAGCCCAGAGCCACAATACACACGACTGCTCTGCTGTATAATATTAATTCAGGTAATTGTTTGGCTGGCTTGAGAGAGCAGCCGTATGGTCCTGTGGGACTATGGTGACTTAACCTTTACCCTACTTTGATGGTACACTGTGTTTCCAAGTCAAGATGGTTTAGGCACTGTATCTTTTGGATGTTCTTGTTGTCACGTTTCATTGTACCTAGAACAGCAGGTCTATTCCTTTAGTCGTGCATCACAGACAAAATACAAAGCTCAATTAAAAACAGATTGGCAGTGCAGTGTTGAATACATGATCAAACTAGTAATATTGAGAACACCGTTTCAAGTGGCATTTCACAAATGTAATTTTCCTTTAAAGTAAAATTGGGAATTAAGATTAGTGAAAATGACCATGCAACTCCAGATTACCGTTTTAAAAGCTCCTGACCAGGCTGCCATCTTAATGTAGTCAGGGCAATATGTGACTCCAGTCCCTCACCAACATACTGAACTCCTAACTACTGTCTGAAATGACCTTGAGAGCCAGCGGATGCATGTAATCTGCCTTGCAGCAGGTTTAAGAAAATGATTACCCACCATCAGACCAACGAGAGATGAATCAATCTTTCTAACAGCTCTGACTGTCAGTGACTGACAGAACTTGGAGTTCAGATGAATCCACTCAGCCTTCCCTCTTTCTCCTCTTGCTCAGCTGGCAAACACAGCTGTCAGTATCGTACACAAGCAGCCCTTGTCATAGAAACTGGACAGCAAGTGGTAGCAGCCTGTTTGAAATCCAGACACTGCCGGACTTCAATCGAGCACCCACCACTACCTGCTGTAGACACGCTCCTTTTGGAGTGAAAAGGCCACTTGATCAGTGTGCTGGAAGGAATGAACAGCTGGACCTCAGTGAGTCAGAAAGAAGGGATTATAGAAAAATTAACAATTTTGATTTTTAGGAAAAATGCAGGCCATTTAATAAATTGTCCTCCGCTCTAATACCATTCTGTCTTTGTGTCTCTCATTAATTATGCCTTGATCCTGTTCAGTCCCTGTGAACTGTTTTCTCTTTTTTTGTCTGCTATCACCCTATACTCTCCATTACACACACCTCATGGACTTATTGGGCTGAAATGAACTGTTTGACAAACACCTTCCCCCAAACTCATTCTCTTCTAGTATTTGCAATCACTTGAATTCATTGCTATCTCAATCTTTCTCTTAGAAATCTGTAAGCTTTTGAAATGCAGGCTCAGTATTTCCTAATCCAATGTTGCTAAATTTTCTTTTTCCTCATCGTGACTATACTTCCAGGCTTGTGAATTGCAGTGACTGTTCATTGAGAACAGGGTGGTTGAGGATCTGAAAGACTAGGGTGAGGGCAGGGACTGGGACAATAATCACAAACTTCTGCTTCTGGCCTCCTGAACCAATCACAGTGGCCCCTGATGTAACCCACGTCCAGGGCTGGGTTTGGAGCAGAATGTGAAGCTAGGGAGAGGGGACTTTTAGAATCCTACCTCTTCAGTGTTGTTTTTTTGAACTATTTGGAGCAGGACTGCAGTTCAAGCTTGGTCCATTAGGTCAGATTCAGTTTTTTTTTAAAGTGAGGATCTAAAGGGGCCTTGGAGCTGCATGGTGACCGTTGCTGGCTCAGAACTCATGACCCCACTGATGGTCGTAACTCACAGTTTGGGAGGCCCTGCCCTAATTTTAATTGCCTCCTGATTTAAGCCATCACAAGAGATGCAGGAGATCAAGAACAAAGATTTATTGTGGTCATGGTCCTTTGCTCAAGTTAGGCAGTGCAAAGTAATCCCTAATTTGGAGTTTGATGAGTTAACAGTATCGAAGAGGTAAGAATCTGGCCTGCTAATTTTGTTCATCCCCGCCTCCTGTTCAGACACTAACCTCTTCTATTCTTCTCTAAACAGGAAAACAACTTGATGGAATATGGTGAGTTAATCTGTGAAATTTCAAAGCTAGTTTTTCACTTTAGCAATCAAGTTTATGCATTAATATAGTTATGGCACATATGTGTCACCTTTAATATGAATTTGTTCCTCATTAAGGCACACTGCAATAGTTGTTAATGGAGAGGAGTTCTTCTATGGGTCAGGTGGAATTGCTAACTGCCAGCCAGTGAGTATTCTCTGCATTTTCTGAATGTTTATCCATACATACTTGTCCTGTCTTCTACAGATTTCATGTTTGTGCATTAACCATCCACTCAAAGCAGAATACCAGCCAATGCAGCATTTCATTTTTGAAAGAAATTCTCCTCCAGTCCACAAGCACAATTGGGAAAATGCAGACTGTCTCCAGAATAGAATTGATTCTTGCGTTCGATATCCTGTGACCACCATGCTTTCCAGAAATCCATCAAACATTGTCTTCAGGAACATGTGATTTAGTAGACGATTGACCCGCAAACTTGCTCAGCCGTTCTGTAAGGTCTGTGGCTTTAGCTCCACAAATTCCCTTTACTCCCATCCATCCTAATTGATCTCTGCCTTAAAAGAATTCAATACCTCTGCTTCCACTATACTGTAGGGAACAGAGAGTTTCAAACTCTCGAATCCCTTGAGAAAATTCCTCCTCATTTCCATCTTAAAAAGAGAGATGGATCATTTTTTAAAAAAGTGTGCCCTAGTTCTTATCTGTCCTACAAACAGAAGCATCCTTTCGGTGTCCATCCTGTTAGTTCCACTCAGGATTTTGTTTGAGTGAAATCACCTCTCATTCTTTTAAACTTCAATGAGTATAGGCCCAGTCTATCCAAACTTTTCCTCCAAAGTTTACACCCATCCCACTTATCAGTTGATTAAATCTTCTCTGAACGGAAGAAGCTGCTTTACAGGAAATTAAGGACATGGCCTTCACTCCCTCTTCTGGAATCTTGTTTGATTGGTTGATCATGTGTGTAGGGAGAGCTAAGACTCAAATCTCTATAGCTACAGAGTCATAAAGATAGACAGCACGGAAACAGACCCTTTGGTCCAACTCGTCCATGCCAACCAGATATCCGATATAAATCCAGTCCCATTTGTCAGCGCTTGGCCCATATCCCTGTAAAACCTTCCTATTCATGGACTCAGCCTTTTAAATGCTGTAATCGTACCGGCCTCCTCCACTTTATCTGGCAGCTCATTCCATACATGCACTACTCTCCATGCGAAAGTTACCCCTTAGGTCCCTTCGACATCTTTCCCCTCTTGCCTTAAACCTATGCCCTCCAATTTTGGACTCCCCCACTCCAATGAAAAGACCTTGCATATTTATCCTACCCATGCCCCTCGTGACCTTATAAACCTCTAAGGTCACCCCTCAGCCTGCGACACTCCAGGGAAAATAGCCCGGAAGTCCATGTAGATCGTGTCCTTGGAAAATAGCCCCAGCCTATTCAGCCTCTCCCTATAGTTCAAATCCTTCAATCCTGGCAACATACTTGTAAATCTTTTCTGAATCCTTTTGAGTTTCTCAAAATCCTGTAGGAGGGAGAACAGAATTGCATGCAATACTCCAAAAGTGGCCAAATCCATGTCCTGTACAGCCGCAACATAACCTCCCAACTTCTATTCTTAATGCACTGACCAATGAAGGCAAACCTATCAGACGCTGCCTTCATTATCATATCTATCCGTCACTCCGCTTTGTTCAGCAGCACTCCCCAGAAACTTGCCATTAAGTGTATAAGTCCTGCCCTGACTTGCCTTTCCAAAATGTTCACATTGAAATCACTTATATACATGATGAAAAGCAGTAGACCCAGCACTGATCCTTGTGGTACACTGCTGGTCACAGGTCTCCAGTCTGAAAAGCAATCCTCTACCACCCTCTGTCTTCTACCTTTGAGCCAATTCTGTTCCAAGTAGCTAGTTCTCCCTGTATTCGGTGTGATCTAAGCTTGCTAACCAGTCTACTATGAAGAATCTTGTTGAACACCTTACTGAAGTCCATATAGATCATATCCGCCGCTCTGCCCTCGTCAATCCTGTTCGTTACTACTTCAAAAAACTCAACCAAGTTAGTGGATTATGATTTCCCATGCACAAACCATGTTGACTATCCCTAATCAGTCCTTGCCTTTCCAAGTACATGTAAATCCTATCCCTCAGGATTCCCTCCAACATCTTGCCCACCACCGATGTCAGGCTCATCTGTCTATTGTTCCCCGGCTTTCCCTTACCACCTTTCATAAATAGTGGCACCACGTTAGCCAACCTCTATTCTTCCGGCATCTCACCTGTGGCTTTTGATGGTGCAAATATCTCAGCAAGGGGCCCAGCAATCATTTCCCTAGCTTCCCACCAAGTTCTAGGGTAAACCTGATCAGGTCCCAGGGATTTATTCACCTTTTATGCATCTTAAGATGTTGAACACCAGCTCCTCTGTAAGATGGACATTTTTCAAGATGTCGTTATTCATTTCCCCATGTTCTCTATCTTCCATATCTTTCTCCACAGTAAACACTGATGCAAAGTACTAATTTAGTATCTTCCCCCATCTCCTGTAGTTCCACATGTAGGCAGCCTTTCTGATCCTTAAGGGGCCCGATTCTCTCCCTAGTCACCCTTTTGTCCTTTAACGTACTCTCCTTAACCCTATTTGCCAAAGCTATTTCATATCCCCTTTTTGCCCCCCTTATTTCCCTCCTGAAGTATATACTCCTACTGCCTTTATACTCCTCTGGGATTCACTCAATCCCTGCTGTCTATACCTGACATATGCTTCCTTCTTATTCTTGACCAAAGCCTGAATTTCTGTATTAATCCAGCATTCCCTGCACCTACCAGCCTTGCCCTTCACCCTAACAGGAACATACTGTCTCTGGACTCTCGTTATCTCATTTTTGAATGTTTCCCATTTTCCAGCCGTCCCTTTACCTGCGACATCTGCCTCCAATCAACTTTTGAAAGTTCTTGCCTAATACCGTCAAAATTGGCCTTCCTCCAATTTAGAACTTTGACTTTTAGATCCGGCCTATCCTTTTCCGTCACTATTTTAAAACTGATAGAACTACGGTCACCGGCCCCTAAGTGCTCCCCCGCTGACACCTCAGTCACCTGCCCTGCCACATTTCCCAAGATTGGGTCAAGTGTTGCACCTTCTCTGGTAGGTACATCCACATACTGAATCAGGAATTTTTCTTGTGCACTCTTAACAAATTCCTTTCCATCCAAGCCCTTAACACTGTGGCAGTCCCAGTCTATGTTTGGAAAATTTAAATCCCCTGCCATAACCACCCTAATATTATTACAGATAACTGAGATCTCCTTAAATTTGTTTCTCAATTTCCTGCTGACTATTAGAGGATCTATAGTACAATCACAATAAGGCGATCATCCCTTTCTTATTCCTCAGTTTTACCCAAATACGCTGGATGTATTCCCAGGAATGTCCTCCCTAAGTAGAGCAGCAATGTTATGCTTAATCAAAAATGACACTCCACCTCCTGTTTTGGTGCCTTTTTATCCTTGCTATAGTATCTATACCCTGGCACATCTAAGCTGTCATACCTGTCCATCTGAGCCACTTTTCTCTAATTGCTGTAATATCCCAGTCCCATGTTCCCACCCATGCCCTGCCCTGAGTTCATCTGCCTTACCTGTTAGGTCTCTTGCATTGAAATAAATGCAGTTTAATTTCTGTTCTGCTTTGTTCCTGTCTGCCCTGGCTGTTCTTAACTTGCTCCTTTGCCCAACTGCAACCCACTCCAAACACCACCCCACTCAAAAAAAAAAAAAATTTTGAATCCACCCCCGCACCCCAAGCAAATCTCCCCGCCAGTATATTAGCCCCTTTCCAATTCAGGTGCAATCTGTCCTCCTTGTACATGTCACTTCTACCCCGCAAGAGATTCCAATGATACAAAATGTGAAGCCTTTTCCCCTGCACTGGCTCCTCACCCTTGCATTCATCTGCTGTATCCTGCTATTCCTACCCTCCCTTCTTCATGGCACTGGCAATAATCTGGGTATTATTATTGAGGACACACTGTTTAACTTCCTGCGTATCTTCCTCTATTCTTTTCCTTTGAATCTTGTCCTTTTGTCTTCATATGTTACTAGTTGCAATGTGTACAATGACCTCCTGCTGGTCCCTCTCCGAGATATCCTGGCACCAGGGAGGCAACACACTATTTTGATTTCTCATTGTCGGCAGCAGAAACATCTGTCTGCTCCTCTGACTAGAGTCACCTATCAAGCCATCACTTGGAATCTGATGTACCCCTTGTTACATTAGAGCCAGTCTCGGTATCAGAAATCTGCCTGTCAGTGTTACATTCCCTTTAGAGTTCATCACCCACTACGTTTTCCAAAAGAGCATACTTGTTTAAATTAGGACTCCTGCATGACCTGCCTACCTCTGCTACCTTTGCTGGAAGTTATCTTTGGTTTATCTCCTTTTTCTGCAGCTGTCATCCATCACATCCCCCAGCTCCTGTAAATTCCTCATTGCCTCTAACTGCTGCTCCAGCCAACCACACTTCCTGCAGCCGTAACCATCAATAACATGGAAACTCAACAATCTACAGACCCAGAAAATAGCAGTCTTACTGCTCTTAACTCTGCTCCAGGCTGGCTTTATACCTATGTTTTATATTTTTTAAAGAGACATGTCTGTTGATTAAAACATACAATCAAAAAAGAACCCACGCTACTCCCTGTTGTGGACTTACAAAAAAAGACTAGCCGCTTCGCAGCTGTCGTCACCACACACTGGTTTTTCCAAAGTCAGCTGTGTATTTTTCTGTTTGTTTATTTTTCATAGATGAACTCCGATGTCCAGAAGTACTCGAAATCAAACAGCAGAGGCAGTAGTTGTGAAGGTTCACTGCTGGGTCAGGCAGCAGTGTAGGTTTCTTTTTCCATTGATTCACTCACTTCCCACCTTTGTGATCACTGTCTCTCTTTCTCCTTTTTTTTAAAGTGCCGTTGTTTTCTTTTTGTTTTGGAACTTTGGGGAAAAAAATGCAATACCTTAAAGAGCAGTAATTACTGCTGCTAGAATTCAAGGAAATCAAATTCAACACTGAAAATACCTCGGAGCAATATTTTCCTGTTCTCCATCTTGGATTAACCAGAGTCCTCTCCCTCCTCAAACAAGTGTCTTAGTTTGTAAAAGTGGCCTAAAGTACCCCCCAAAAACCCCACAACAACAAAAGAAATATTTACTTTAATGCTGTTCATGCTCTTTTCAGTATGATTAGATTGAAACACTAGGCAGCAATTCTGGTTCTGTACCAGGGTGTCAATGATAAAATATAGGAATCCAACAGCGTCGTGCCCATTTTCACCATAGGAATTGCTGTAGTTCCAGAAGGCAGCTCACCACCACCTTGAGTGCTGTTGGGGATGGGCAATAAACATTAGTCAAACCAGTGACCTCCAAATTGGCATGAATGAACAAAAACAAAAAAATCCCCATTCACTTTCTTCTCCCTGATCTAGGGATGCTGAGGTTGATTTAACTGTCACAGTCGCCATGTATCAGGAGAACTAACATTTTGGTGATTGTTGATTGTAATGTTATCACTTGCATTACTACATTCCTTTTGACTTCCTGTCCTGATGCATTAAAGCCCTGATGCCAACAGTGTTAGAGTTATGTTTGTGTTGTGTAATCTTTTTTAAATTACTGGTTAGGGTGGCTTATTTTGGAAGGACAAGAAAATTTGACATACACACCAAATTTGTGATGGAATGTATTTAACCCAGTGCCTGTACAATAGTGTCCAAATGGCCATTTTCTGTACTATAACGTCCTGTGTTTTCTCTTTCTGGTTCCCAGGGAGGGACTTTACTCGGGCCACCTGACACTGTCATTGATCTGGGGACCACTGAAGTGACTGAGGAGTTAATCATGGAATATTTATCCTCTCTGGGAGAGTCAGCATTCAGGTTAGTTCCTCTTTGCTGCCTGTGCTTTCACAGTGGGCCAACTTGATGCTTTGCCTATAATTGAATAGCCAGAATACCCATGGCTTTGGAGTCACTAGCAGGCATAAACAATGGCAGCACTTCCAGCTGTGTATTAAATCTGCCAACTGTGTACATATCTTGTCAGGTGCTTGTGCAATAAGTGTCTATTCCATGTTTGTTGTAGAAATTACTAAAGCAAGTTTCTCCCTTTGGAGTTGCATCTGCTGCCAATATTGTATCACAGGAGGGCAGATAGAAAAAGACAATTTGTGTTGCAGCTGCTGATTCCTGCTGTGGGGGTAGTTCTGCAAGCGTCACTGTAATTGGTTCATCTTTTGCGCTTTGTGTTTGAAGGGCAGAGAGTGGGTGTGCTCTTCCTGCAAACTGAAGTTGCCACATGTTGTGCTTGCTCAGTAGTAAACATAGAGGCCTAGTTTCTCCTTTTTATTTGTCCTAAATGGCCTACTCGGTATCCTTAGACTGTGACCTGGTTCTGGATTTCCTAATTGTTGGGAATATTCTTCCTATGTTTACCCTGTCTAGACCTGGTAGAATTTTAAGTTTGTGAGATCATCTCTCATTCTTCTTCTAAATTCCAGTGAATATAGCCATGACCATCCAGTCTCTCCTTGTATGTCAGTCTGGTGAGTCTTTGCACTCCCTCCACAAACAGAACTTCCTTCCTCTGACAAAGAGTACAAAACTACATAAGATGATCTAGGTGTCGTCTCGCCTGTACAGCTGCAGTAATATCTACTGCCTGTATGTAATGTCCTTAGTTCCGTGTTGCAGTATGCTAGTATTTCAGTGAGGTCAAAGTGCGGTCTTTGTTCTCTTCTCGGGTACGAGGAAGGTGATATAGTAATTCAGTACACCATATGTCTTCTGTAGCTCATGATTGACTACTTATTTCCCAACAAGATAATTGAGGGCCTCTGGCCACCAAACATGTGAGAATTGATGTCTAGGTTTCATTGGCGATGACACAAAAATTTATTGTTCACAAGGTGGCATGTTTTGGAATTAGTGAGGTGAACTTCCAGCCCCAAATCTGCACCATGGTCATCCTTTGCTGGTTTCAAATTTGCAAACTGCCAGCCTATTGTCAATCTTCTCAGCATTGTATAACTTTTCCGGTGCGTCCTTCTTGGTCTTTCTTTCTCAACTACTCGTTCATCTTTTTGAGAGCACTACCTAACTTTTTCCTTTTTTTTTTCCCCATCCTTTTGAAAGGCCAAATGTTCTTGAATATCCAGTTTACACTCTCATCTCTGTAATGGCCATAGTACCATGCTCCTTTACTTCTACTTGTCTATCAATTCGTCTATCCATCTTGTTATGAATACAGGCAGCCTTCATGTCTTAATGTTTCCCTACTCTCCACCTTTGGAGGTATAGTCTGTAGGTATATCCTTTTTTGTAACAGGTCACCCACCATATAAACATAGTCTAGCACAGGTTTTGCAGAGCCTAACTTTCAGTTTGTCTCTCTCTCGAGTCAAGTTACCATAGCTTTACCAGGCCATAAGGCTGCTGTCTCTCATTAGAGACACAACTGGTGGTGATTTAACCTGAGGGCCACCGTACATCTGGTGAGGGGAGAGGCTGAGAAGGAGAGTCCTGCGTGGTAACCCTGTGCAGGGATTGAATCCACGCTGTTGGCATCACTCTGCTTCACAAACTAACTGTCCAGCCAACTGAACTAAACTGACCCTATCTGCCTCCCTAGAAACGAAGCCCAGTGCTCGATTTTGTTCCTTATGGTTGCAACCCTGTGGCACAATCTCTAGTGGTTGTCGTATTTGAACTCCAAGATTCCTTTTATTCTTGTTCCTCACAGTTATTTGCCCAATCTTCATGTTTAATATCCGTGTATTTTGTTGCAGTCCTCATCACAATTGATTCTCCCACCCACCCAACAATACTAGTTGCTCACAAATTTGAAGGTGGTTCTTCATTCCCAAGTCTTAATTATAATGTAAATTGTAAACAGTCATGATCCCAACATTAGTCCTTTTAGAACACTCCAATCCACTTTCTACCACTCTGAATAACTGCCCATTATTCTGACTCTGCTTTCCATCTTGAAGTCAACCACTTATCCCTGGCTATGCATTGTCTGACCTTGTTCTTCTGTCCAGGTAAATTACATCTACTGTATTGCCATTCTGTTGTCCTTAGAAAGTACATCACTTTGTAACTTCTCCACATTGAGCATCATGCCATGTTTCTGCCCGTTTCCCCAATCTGTCGTCCAGAAATTAAAACTATTTGGATGTGGATGTTGAGCAACGGATAAATATTGGTGTGCACTTCAAATAGCCTGGATTTTAAAAAAAAAAACCACTTGGTATTATACTGAAGTTTCAGGCGTGTTTATGTTAACCAATTATCCGATTTTACTCAATACACAGATTTAATTCACTTTTCATTAGTATCTGGATGAATGTATTGATCCACAAAAGGTGTGGAGTGATTGCAAAATTGTTGATTTAATGCAATAAGCATTGATCAGATTAATGTTCTCTCTTCCTGAAACCACCAGTTACTGCTGGCATGGAGCTTTAAAGTATTGAGGCCGATTCTGCTATCCTTATTCCATCCGCTACTAAAGTAAATGGGCAAAGAACTGGAGACCAAAAAGGGAAATTATCTTTCCACAGTGAATGATGAGGGCCGGGAGTGTGGTGGAGACAGATTCAATTGTGGCTTTGAGGGGAGAAATGTGCACAACTATAACAAAGGGCTTTGAAGAGGAGACTAGCAGGGACAACTGCTGAATGGTGTTCTGTACTGTAACAATTTGTGTTTCTGTGACATCTTTCACTTTATCATTTTGTTGCAGGGGAGAGTGCTACAAACTGTTTGAACATAATTGCAATACGTTCAGTAATGAAGTTTCCCAATTCCTCACTGGGAAGAAGATTCCGTCGTATATCACTGACCTGCCTTCTGAGGTCTTATCAACGTGAGTACATTTCCCACTGAGGTATTAATCGCTCTGCATACTTTGTTGAGATATTGCAAGAGTCTCTGAAATTTCTGCAGTATGACTATGAAGACCACAGGCCACAAATTTGACTCGTGACCTCTGCCCTTAATTTCTTTGGCCTTAATGGTCTAGGGAGGAGCTGCCATCCAGTTTTCCCAGGTGATCCCTGCTGGAAAGTACGTGTACTAATCTCCTGTAGGGAAGGAAATCGCATCTGGTCTAGCCTAGATGTGATACCATACATAACAGTGTGGCTGACTGCTAACTGCCCCCCAAAATGGCATAGCAAGCCATAAATTAGAGGCCAATTAAGGTTGGGTAGCAAATACAGTAAGATTCATTCCATGAAAAATTGAAGGAGGAAAGTGTCGTGTCTGAGTAGGAGCAGTTTTCCTTGGAGTAATCCAGCAGCATCTGCTGCACTCGCATTTGGCCAAGCAGTCGGGGAATTTGGTGTTCACAGAATCTAACACCTGCAAGGAGCAGGTTCTTTTACTTTTCTTTTCAAGAGGGGAAGGGCAAAAACAAGAAAAAATTAAAATTTTTTTTGTTTAATACTAACGTCGTTGTTCCTGTTGTTTTTATTTTCCCATCAGCCCTTTCGGCCAACTCATTAAGCCCATCCTGGACTCGGTTCAGATTCAGCCAGTGGGAGGAAGCAGCATCAACGATCAGAATCCAAGCTAGTAACAGCAGCCCAGAGAGCTGAGACTGTGGAGCCATGTACAGTCACTGCATATCACTGAACTATACAATGATTTTCCAAAAAAGAGATTTCCCTTCAAGCATCTTTCATCTTGTATCTAACTTAAAGTAGAATGTTGAAAAGTGGTAGAAAAGCGTTTTTTATTTTTAAATCCATTGAAACATGCATCTAATACAAAAGTACTGAATTCTACAGTGCAATAGATCAGGTTGTTGTCAGCTCCCTTTTGTCAACTCTCTTTAAATAACCATAGCAAGCAGCAGTTGTCATGAGAGATTGATTCCTTGCTTCTTTCGCAATGTATTTAGCCAGCAAACACCCCTCCCACCTCCACCGTCAACTCTTCTGAAAGAGGCCACCAGCATGGAAACCTTACCAGTGTTTTCCTCACTGTTATGCCAACATCATTGCCAACATATTGACCAATTCAAGGGAGAGTGTTTCTAGTGTCATCAGAGTTTGTTTAGGATAGCTGTGTTGTATGTGGGAGGGAAAAGTATACTTCAGTCACAGTGCTTTTCATATCATGCTATAGTCTGACTTGCGCACTTCAGATTGCTGCCTATCCTTGCCTAACTTCAGAATCCACCCACATTCAGGAGGAGAGAATTTGTAACTTATCACAGTCCAGCTCAATACGGTCGGAGGATTTCCCCTTGCTCAGCCTCCCACTCTGCTTTTGGAAGTCTCCAGCTTCCATGTGCCTGTTTCTTCTGGTACTTGGCAGTTAGCTGTTGTTTTAAGTGTCAATGAACTTTCTTGGTGCTGTTAACAGCATGTTTCCCCAGGGTATAGTGTATCTTGGCTGCAATTGAAAGAAATGTTGGGTTTATTTTCTTTCACCTGATCAAATTGGACCCTTTTCTGTGTAGATAAAACTTGAGCTGAAATCCTGAGTTCCAATTTCAGATTACTTCAGTCTTAAAGCATTCACTTTGTTTCTTCCAGCAAATAGTTGCCCTGTCCTCCTGCTTGTCCAGAATGTGATACTGGACAATGCCTTCACAGGGCCACAGAGACCTATCCTTGTCAGCTGGCCACATGGGGAATGGTGAGTGCAGGCAGCTTCTTGGACTTCAGAGCCCTTGCTTGCATCCATGAACAAGTTCTTGCCATTAATCCCTACATATCTATTTTCCCACACAGATACAGGCCAGCATTCAGGAACATGATTCCTGGGTGGTATGTGTACTCTCTGTCTCTCCTCATCCATGAGGTTGTATCTCTGCATTCTTCACACCCATCCCATTTGTGACCAAGTAATTCACAACGTGGGGAATATAACAGCTCTTTTCTGTACAACTCAGTATAGGCCATCCCTGCCTTAAGGACCAGAGTCTGCCCCAATGTCACTGGACAGAACAGCAAACTCCAAGGGTTCAAACTTCTCCAGCCCATCGCGTTATCCCAATGGTATGGGTTGTTACAGCATACAAACTCCTCTACTGCAGTGATGTCCAATATGTTAGTCAAAAGACTTCACTTTGGGTGTGACGTCAATCGTTAAATTTCCATGGCATGTGCATGTGAACTTTAACCTTTTTACCCAATTAATTCTCATGAAGCATGAATGTTTTGCTTGGTTTGTGCTTTACTTCCCTAGTTACTGAATGGTGGCAGATATTTGTTAAGCAAGCCTATTGTATGAGGTGCATTTCCTTTTTATTTGAGTGTATATAAGGTGTCTTGTTCGGCTACAGTTAGAACGTGGCCAAAATGGTGTTGCTGTTACCACATCCTGTGTAACTGGGCAGCTGTTTCTCTTGGATAACCCTGGTTCAGACAGTGAAAGATGCTGAGTGCTCTCTCCCTCTCCCATGCTCTCAATATATCTGTTTATTGTAACTCACTGATGTTGTGATGTCTCAGTGATGTAGGCCGCTAAGGCACTGAAAATGAGGTCCTGTAGTTTGACGTCTGCTCACCTCTTCCATATCTTAGGGATACCAATTCAGTTTCCTGTATTAACAAGTCAGCTACAAGATTCTCCACAGTGCGGGGCGGAGTTTGAAAACTTATCATTGCTGTGATATGAGAAGCTTTCCTGTGTTAGTGTTATTTTGTGGGAATTGGAGTGTGATTTTTGAACCCTTACCCTGCTCAATTGGATAACTTCACCCAGTTGGATGCCTTTCCAATGTAAAATCAAGTGCAGAATACCAAGCCGGTCTGTTGCTCGAACTTTAGCCCTCCAGCAGAACATCTTCACTTAGGCTAAAGCCCTGAAATCTCAGAATGCAGCTTGGGTTTAATATAGTCTAATTGTACTCGTTAATGTTGTTTGGTAGTAAAGTTCTATAATTTTGTCTATATTGAACTGTTGGATTGGGAATTTAAACTGAGTTTAATATTGGAGACTTCCCTGCTTGAGAATTTTCTCCCAGTAACCCTGCTGTTGCGCGGTCAGGGGTTGATCTTCTCCCAAGTCGTCAGCAGTTGGCTTGGAATACGAAAACAAAAATAACTGAGTGCAGTGTCACAGTTGCTTGGTGACTTTTTCAGTCTTTTGCCATAGCAACTGCAATCTTCAGAGCAAATCAGACTGCCCCATTTTAATTTCCTGCCTCTGCAGGTTTGGCTGCTCAGGATGGGAATGAGCTAACTTGCACAGTGATTCCTTTGGCATTGCTCAACATCATACAGTTCTACTGTTGTCTCAGTAACATTAGGTGACAGGGTGGGAGACCCCAGAGGTTTTGAAAGTTGTTTTTCTTCTGTGGGATAAGTGTGTCACGGGAAAGATCAACATTTCTTGTCCCTAATTGCCCCTGAAGATGGTGTGAACTGCCACCCTGTACTGTTGTAGTCCATTGGTATCTGTTGCAGTTGGTTACAATCGAGTGGCTTGCTAGGCCATTTCAGAGGCCATTGAAGATTTACCCAAATTACTGTTGGTCGAGGGTCATGTGCAAGTCAGGTCAAGTAAGGATAGCTAACCTCATCCCGCCCTCTTGACCTGTCCGTCCTCCCTGGACTGACCTATCTCCTCCCTACCTCCCCAGCTACACTCACCTTTACTGGCTCCATCCCCGCCGCTTTGACCTGTCTGTTTCTTCTCCTCTGTCCATCTTCTATCCGCCTCCCCCCCCCTCTCCCTATTTATTTCAGAACCCCCTTCCCCTCCCCCATTTCTGATGAAGGGTCTAGGCCCGAAACGTCAGCCTTTCTGCTCCTACGATGCTGCTTGGCCTGCTGTGTTCATCCAGCTCTGCACCTTGTTGTAGCAGATCTCCTTCCCATTTTGTGCACCAGATGAATTTTTACAGGAGTTGATGGTCTCCATAATGTAGTCATGAAGCTATATTTCAATTACAGTTTTATTAATTGGATTCAAATTTCACCAGCCACTTTGGGATTTAAACGATTGTCCTAAGAACGTTAGCCTGATCCTCTGAATTACTTGTCTAGTGAATTTACCTTCGAGTCATACAGCATGGAAACAGATCCTTCGGTCCAATTAGTCCATGCTCATCATGTTCCCAAACTAATCTATCTTGAATTGTAACACCCTGGCTAATGATGTGTATATTGCTGAATTTCTTGATCATTTATTGCTTAATGTTTTACTTGTTAGACCTTGGGTTTATTAATCCCTTTCTCTCCAGGTATCAGTGTCACCAAACATACGGTTTGCCCATGCAAGAGCTTCTCCCTGCAGCTCCTCCTAATGCACCTTCCCTCTTTCCTTCCCTCAAAGTTGTCACCATTTGCAAAGCAGGTGCATTGTCCCCATGAGGTTTTGCAGTTGAAGCCTCTGAATCCATTGGTTTTCTTAAATGGTTGCTTGAAATCTGCCAGATATCCAGCCAAGGTTTGAGTTTTATTGTCAGCAGCTTCCTCGGTTGTTGCTGCTCTGCCTTGACACTCTTACTGTGGAGCAGTGGATGGATTCATGGCCATAACCACTTCTTACACCAATTATTGAACTTCAGGCCCATGGTGTGTATCCAGCTGAATGCCAAACCAAAATTTGGAGCCTGTGCTCTGGCTCCCACTCATCAGAACTGTCCAGAGCAGGGTTTGAACCCTAAATCTTCTGACTGTGCTGTGGGTGGTTTTATTGTTAACAGTTGCTTGAGGTGTGCCAGAGCAATTGAGGAGGAAGCCCCAGTTTTGATCCCCTAACCTGTTGAGTTTGTTTTTAATATGCCCACAGATGGGTTGCTGCAGTTGTTCTCCCAGCCCCTAAGCTGTGAAGGAGGAAAAATACGCAGCCAGGATTTGCGTTCTGAATTTTTGCAGTATTTGTATTTTGGGCATTAATCAGATCAAGCTGGGCTGCGTTGCTGCCTTGCCTCTCCAGCTTGATAGTTTTGTCAGCAGTGTCTGGTGCCATAAGGCTCGGCCATCCTGGGTGATGTGCAGATGGTGGTGACTGTCGGGAGCAATCTGTTACAGCGAGAGTTGGGACCTTGAGGAAAGAACTGAAAATTAGCAAAGTGCATTTGGCCCCTGAAGAACAAAAGGTGCTTCAGCAGTTTGTGGTGTGAGAGGAGGGGTGGGGGCGTGATGGGGAAGAAATCAGAAATGACCTTGGCTTCCTAATTATAAAGCTGTGCTACTGTTCTTCAGTTTGTACTTTAGTTTGCTGCAGATCCTGCTCAGAAATTACTTGTCTTCCAGCAGAAGCATTGGCAAAAAAACCCTCCTGAATATCATCAGGACTCTGTCTCCTCCTGTTAATTGAAAGTTATTTTGCTTTCTTTTTTTAAAAAAAAAAGTTGGTTATTCAAATGATCAGATGTTGTGTTAATAACAGCCAAGTGCAAATTCAGCACTTAAACAACTTATGATCACATCATTCAAATTAACCAACTTTGAATTAACGGCAGATTAAGACCAGATATCACCCTGTACTGACGTAGGTTTTATGTATTGAATGTATTGCTATTTATCTCATCTGTTTACAATATTTAGATATTGATGGTTTTCAATGGATAGATAAATCAGGGAATTGTATTTTACCAACCTCTTCAATAATGGTTTATAATTTGAGGCAAAGAAGCATTAACTGGCATAGGAGCCAAGTGCACATCCAAATCTCAATACTCATTTGAGCATCTGCCTCGTCACAGTTCAATTTGTGTTAAAACATGTCTTGTGTTTGTGCTTATTAATGTGAAAGTGTGTAAGTTTGTATGTCCATTTAATATATGAATGTTTTACTTTGAAGAACTTTGTTCTTATTTAACTGATGCTTCATGAGGGTCCAGTTGCTCCAGCTTATTGCAAGGCTGTTTTGCTCCTCTGTCTTTGCTGCTGTTAATTATTTGATGCTCAGCCAGGCCTTTGGGTGTAGCACCTCCTCTTGATCTTTTTACCTTAGTAATGGGCACGTTGTTCAATCACATGGCTCCTTGTCACTGATTTCTTGCCATGATGGTTTAATCATTAAGAGGAGTAATCTTCCCATTGCATTATATTGTTCGGAATGATTGAAGGTTTGAAGTATTGCCTGTCTTGTCCTGATTCAGGGGTACCTTCTCTCAGCTGGTTATGAAGTGGCATGAGCTGGTGCTTCACCCGTGCTTATTTTAGGAAACTGAAAGTGATGGTTATAGCCAAGGACTTGAAAACTTGGCATCTGGGTTGGCCAATGGGAAATGTACCCTAAACAAATGCACTGGTGCATATAATAAAGTGGAATGGCCATCTGCAGCCTTCCTTCAAGTTGCTATCTACAGCTTGTTCCTGCTTTTGCACCTGCATTGATAGCTTTTTGGACTATTGCCACAACCTCCTGCCCTCTTGCTGTGCACTAGGTGGAAGTGTTGAGTTGGTGAGTAACAAGAGATTCTTTCCTGAATTCTTTTACCGTTCCCTCCAAGGAATACTCCTGATCCTCACTTGCGGGTTAGGACACCATATATGCAGCAAGGAATAATTGACCTTTGGCCTGCTGAAGCTCTCACCTTTTTGAGTAGTTCCAGTATTTACAGTTCTAATTGCTACCACTAGAGGCTGCTGTAATGTCACTGCCAGCAACAACTGGTTCAGTTTGTAGGCAGCCCCCTTGGAGGTTCTCCTGACATAGAACTTTGGACGAGGCACAGTATGGGGGCCCAAGCTTTCCTGGCATAAATGAAGAATGTGTTGGCTCATACAAGTTCATGAAAGTTACATTTGCCCATCTGTAGAATACTGTTCATAAACCTTTGGTCAAAACTTTAATTTTTTTAAAAAGATACAAACATTTAGTGCAGGAGGAAAAAGAATACAGTTTTCCCCAGCACATTAGGATTAAATCTACTGTGGAAACATGAACGTCCGTAGATGTGTCCGAAATATTAATTGATGATCAATAAATAGGCAGCATTTTGGAGGCAGTTTTCTTGAACTATCATCCTGTAACTACATTTTATTTGTACTAACATAGGAAATGAACACAGTGTTGGAATTTGATGAGCTGAGTGTTGGAATCTAAATAAAAATTAGTGGGGGTGATTAGCTGATGATTCAATCTCCAACAGCTCTTTTACATTATCCACTATTTCAGAAAAGAACCCATGCAATAGACTACAGAACAGCCCTGTTGGTATTCCCATGCCATAAGGTTTTCTTTTGAAATGTTTAAATGATGCATTAAATTTGCCAATCCTGTTCTAGATTTCCAGCCTCATTTGGACCCAGCACCTGTGTGGTATCACACTCAATATCAGAGTTCACTTTGCAGTCATGTTTCCTGACTGACTGGAGGGGACATAAGGGAGGAGGTACCTGAGTTAGTTGCCATTAGCTTGCATCTTATGGAAAGCCTTTATCCAATCCATCTATGAAGAAGTAGTTTCAGAGCGCAATTGAAGTTTGCAACCATGCTACTCTTGCAGGAGCTGCCCAGTTTATCCACAGTCCTTGTACAGACAGAAAAGTGCAGGCAACTTATCTGTTATCTACATCCAGTAGCACAAATGGCACTTATTGATCTTGTAACCAGCTGCTGGGAGCCATCCTGACTGAATTTTGCTTTATTGCCTTGCTGTGAGCGATCAGGCCACTTCTGTCTTGACATGTTTGTGTTTTTTAAAAAACACAATGTACATTCTGTGTCATCTGATAATTGATCTGGTCCTGCCTTTCCAAGGCATTTTAAGTTTTTTGCAACGCCACAATGTTTTGTCATTGTATAAACCATTTACCAATTTGTTCCTTCCTTATGACCGGGCATATTTTAAACACTAGTTGCTTTACTAAATTGTTTTGCTTTTCTAAGAAAAAAAAATTGCACAAAGTGCAATTGCTGCTGTCCCTTATTTTCGTTGAGAAAAGATTTTTAAAATTTTGCACAGCAAATGTTTCTGCAGGTTGTTTTCATACATGTATGTAGGTTCCATTTCAAATGTCAATAAAGTTTTTTTTTTTTTTTAAAAAAAGTCTTTCCATCCCAGGCTTTATGTTATCAGTGTGACATGGACCTGCTGTACGTAGCAGGGTATGTATTTTCGACAAACTTCCAGAAGATGTTAAATCACGTCCCACATAAGACTTTTTTTTAAACTAAGATACAAACTCGTGGAACTGTACACATTGGTTGGATCAACAGCAACTGAGAAGTCATGGGTACATTTTTATTTGGTATAAAATTACTGGTGGTGATCTACACAAACCTGTATTCAAGCCTCAACTCTTCACTGCATTTTATTAATCGCTTAGATAGTGAAAATGTGAATTTTCTGATTCAACTCAGATTGGTCGTGGAGGTTAGGGCTACAGTGTAAAATTACATGACACTGAGTGGGAAAATTGATGCATTTCAACATCGGTATGGGTGTGTTTATGAAGTGATTTTCTTCTAACCAAGGAGCAGCACTCTGAAAGCCTGAGATTGCAAATAAACCTGTTTGACTATAACCTGCTGTCATGTGACTTCTGACAATTTGTTAGTGGAACTTTGGCCTTTATAGCTAAGGGACTGATGTATCGAAAAGGAGATATTTTTACAGAATCCTGCTTCCACCATCCTGTGTTTGTTTCTTGTACTACTTCATATGATGTATTGGATTTGAAAGGTATGAGGTACCAATGCACTGGTGTGCTATCAGGGCTTCAGAAGTTAAATTATGAGGAAACATAAACCATACAGCAAATAGAAGTCTGGTTCAAATGCTGAATTGTTTGAGATTACAGCCTTTCACGTCCCCAGGATGTGTTGATGCATTTCAATCAATGAATTAGAATTAGCTTTATTGTCATGTAAACTTTTCACTGTACTCGTGTAAGTACGAGTCACCACTTAACGTGCCATGTTAGTACCAAGTTGGATCAACAGTATGTGGAGCGAGGGGGGAAAAATAACCTTGAATAGCAAGATCTCACGCAACCACTTGTTGATATAACAGCAAGATTCTATCAAAAGTTGAATCTGTTTTTGTGTTGGTTGCGTGACTACTGTTCTTCAGAAATCCCCACTTTTCAAACAGTGCCTTGAGTGATTTTTAGATCAATCTGAATAGGCAACCCGGCTGAGGACACTGTCTGTGACAATGTAGCACTTCCCATACCATTGAAATATCACTCCTAGATTGTGTAGAAGAGTCCATTCGGCCCAGGGGCTCTCTACTGGAACAGGATTGGTCCTCGTGTTACTGCCACCAATCTGATCCACACCAGCCAACCGTCTTGCCTGAAGAGTCAGTGCTGTAGCAATTTACACTTCTACCTGTATGTTGTAGATAGTGAGGGTTAAGCACCAGACCAAGAATCTCTTCCACTCTAACCAGCTACGTGACGAAGATGCATCTAGATTGGAAACTTGCCGTCTCTTGTCTGACCTGCTGTGATTTCCAGTATTTTTGTTTTCAGTAGAGATTCCAGTATCTGCAGTAATTAGCTCCTGCCATTAGTGGTATGTTGGGAGGATTTGCAGGTTGATCATCTTATTTACTTGGCCTCATTAGGAACACACCTTCCTCCACTCCAATGCTGGGGTGGGCGTCAAATCTTGAAACCATGGGCTGACGGGCAGAGATCTCCCCTTTAAAAATACCCATTTTTTTTTTAGAAAAACGCCTGATTTTTAGTTAAAGGGCCGATGATATTGGATGCTTTTCATTATTCGAAGGAAGGAGAAGTCTCCAAAAATTGTGCCAAATTTATTTGCTGGCTGTGGTGAGTCATTCGCGTTTTGCAATATATTTTGGTAACTTCTGCCCGACCGTTGACTCTCTGGGTATGACATAGAGACAAACCATTAGCACCCACCCACCCTGCCTTCCGCTCTGTTCCTCTGGCATGTGATCACTGTCGTCAGTTTCAGAATGTGGTGATTACCCCAGCGCCGAGCAGATCCGGAGCCCGATGCGGTGGAAGGTGGCTGGGGTTCTGGGGGCAGCTGGGACTATGGCTGAGAGGGAGCCGGGACCCCACACTCTCTGCCTGTTTGACGTGGATGGTACCCTGACTGCAGCCAGACAGGTAAAGGCGAAGGGGAAGAGGGGACCTTCCGCAAGGTCGGTGCTGGGCTCTCGGTCTGTTCACTTGCGGCGGTGTAAGTTAAAGATTCAGTGTGTGAGAGAGAGAGAGAGCTCGTCTGCTCAAACTCCTGTGAGCTCCCTGTCGGAGACCAAAATCCATCTTCATTAAGAAATAATTTAAAAGTGCTACATCTGGAAAGGGGCTGACATGCCCTTTAGAGACCTGCATTCGGTTATGGGCTCCCTGCTTCAGGCAGGATACTCTAGCCATGGAGAAAGGGGCAGTGTAGTTTGACCTGAATAATAGCAGGGTCCACATGGGTGAGGTTAGGAGGGCAGTTTGTACAGGACTGTGTGTGTGTGTGTGTGTTCCCTTTGAATGTAGGAACTGAAGGGCTGACCTTGAAGTGTTTTAAAACGATTATAGGATTTGATAGTTTCTCTCTCTCCCTCTCTCTCTCTCTCTCTCTCTTTCTATCAACACTTTATCCTCTTGGGTGGGGAGTAAGCAAATCTAAAATAGATTGTCCTAGGAAGCACTCCATGCTCAGAGCCCTGGGTATCTGGGGCTCTCTTTCCCCCTAAGTGGGCTCAAAATGAAATGTTCAGAACTGCAATTGAATGTGTTTTGTCAAGGAACTTGGGGGAAGAGTCAGGAACCAGGACCACTTGTTATTTTAGTCAGGACATGTTACGGCCCCATCCCTGGGGCAGGTGGGGTTTGAACTGGCATCTCCTGGCCTACAGGTAGGGGCACTGTCACTGCACCACATGAGCCCCTCACCAGGGTTGATAGTTTGATGCAGATCAGCTCATTTGGATATATTAGCTCAAAGACCAAACTGGTTATCTCTACCAACAGTTCCCCTCCTCCTCCCCACACCCACCTTCCAAGTTTATATTCATGTCCTTGGAGAGGGAGTGTGTGATGTCAATTAATGCTCCTGGATTCACTATACAGTACTTTATGTCCCCCTCTGACTCCATTTTGATTTAACCTCTCTCTCTGTCTCTCTCTCTACCTTTACCCCTTGCATGGGTTTTGCATGTCAATGTTGAATTGGCTACGCTGGTGATTTACTGATGGTGGGTACTAGTCAAAACAAAAAGTCTCAGAGATTCGCTGGTGGGAAAGTCATTCATTTGTGTGTGATAGCCAAATACCAACCTATCACCCCCCCAGCTCTCGCCCCCAGGATTCCTGACTCCTCCGTTCATTACCTTCCCCTTGGTTTGAAAGGACCAACCTTATTTTTTTTTTTGAAAATTAAATGGTGGTTTTATTTTGGTGGTTGTTAAACCAAGTGTGAAACTGGTCAGTCTCCTGTGGGCATTGCTGCCGGTTTGAGGCCTAAAGGACAGGCCCAGCCTCAGCTGGAGAGCTTGGTTGATGTTTCCCCGCTCGCTGACTTCCTGAGCCAGGGGCGTTGGCTCCCTCACCCCCTGTCGCTGCCTCACCGGTGCCCCACATGCCCAATGATCCCCACAGGAGTAACGGGCAGGGCCTCCTGTTTTGATATCTGATCTGGGTCTGGATACAGAGGAGCCAGGCAATCCATCACCTGTACAAAGCCCAGGGTGAGGGAGCTACAAGTTTAAAGAGAGACTCGGGCATTTACAATCAATCCCATTGGTGTTGAGACCTTCCAGTGGTGTAAGTATAGCAGCAGCAACTCGATAGGCTCATCTGTGAGGCAGAACATCCTGAGTCCAATCCCCAGTCCCAGACATATCAGCACAAAGGCCAGGACTGGGGGAGTGCTGCATTGTCAGATGTGCACTCTCTCAGATGGGGAGCGAAAGCACACCACTGTCTTTCGGGTCGATGGGAATGGGGAATGGCTCCGGCTAAACTGTCTCGGAGGCCGACAGGCCCCAAGCACCTTCCGGAGAACCGCTCCCAGCCACAGCAGGTGGAGTCAGCCTCTCACCACCTTGTTCTCTCATAGAAAATCACACCCGATCTGGATGAGTTTTTCCAGCAGCTCCGGACGAAGGTGAAGATCGGCGTTGTTGGAGGTTCAGATTACATTAAGATTGCGGAACAGCTGGGGGAAGGAGAGGAAGGTGAGTCTGCTCGGCCATGGGGGGGGCACCAGAGCAGAAAGCTGGGTTCCCAGCGACTGGCCATTCTCGCAAGTGGTCACCCATTCTCTGATCAATGGGTACACGGGGTGGGAGGTTTGTTTTTACTAGGCCCCCTGCACACACATGTCAGCCCAGCTGTTATAATCCATTCCAGTTTAGTGAAAAGACTGGCAGGAAGTTTCCTTGGCAAATGCCATGTGTGAGATAGCTGGGAGTCACATTTATGCCAGGCCTAGGTGGTGGTGTACTAGTAATGTTCCCAGACTAGTAAAAGCAGGCAGGTGGGACCAGTTTAGTTTGGGATAATGGCCAGCTTGGTCTGGTTGAACCGAACGGTCTGTTTCAGAATCTAATCCTGTTGGAATATGTTCAAGGCCTCACCACGATAGCTGCTGGTATTTAAAATTCAATCTATTAATACCGAAATATGAAGCTAGTCTTGCTGATGATGAGACATCTACTGATTTTTGTAAGAGCCCATCTGGTTCACCAGTGTCCTTTAGGAGGGAAATCTGCCTTCCTTACCCATTCTGGCCTCCATGTGATCCACAGTCATCTATTTGCTTCCTAATGAACCCCTGAAATGCCTCTCAAAAGCCACTCAGTTCGAGGTGGGCAATAAATGCTGCCTTGGCCAGTCATGCCGCATGTGCCACAAATGAATTGTACGCGGCTGTACACAGTTGGTGCTTGGCTGGTGCTCTGAAGGAGGGAAGGCCACTCCAGTCACATCCCTGCTCCCAGCTTTTGTGTGTGGGTCTGAGAGGGTCAGTGCTAGGGAATGCCATAAGCGCCAGCCATTGCCATGATGTTGTGCCAGCAGTGTCAGTGCCAGCGGTGGTTCAAGATGGCAGCTCACCACCACCTTCTCAGGACGACCCAGGGCCTGCGCGCACCAGTCCACTCACCACAAAATGAATACAAAATGGACCTGTGGGTGGAATAGCTCAGGATCTCAAAAATGTGAAACAAATTCTTCCTCACAGTTTCTGTGACCATGTCTGCCCTATCAAAGATGTGCAGGTTGTGGTAGATTGGCCAGGCTAAATTGCCCCACAGTATCCAGAGATGTGCAACCAGGGGAAATGCAGGGTTACAGGGACCTGGGTCTGGGTGCGATGCCCTTCAAAGGGTCAGTGTAGACTTGATGGGCTGAATGGCCTCTCCCCGCACTGTAGGGATACTGTGAGCTGTTCCCATGATTACATGGAGCTGAGGATCATCAGCTGATCAGTGATCCCAGTGAATAGCAGACCAGATGCAGTGGGTTGAATGGCTTCCTTCTGCTCCTGTATGATTTCAGCCAGCTCTCCGTTCCTTTCTGCAGTCATTCACAAATTCGATTACGTCTTTGCTGAAAATGGAACAGTCCAGTACCGAGATGGAAAATTCGTCACAAAGGAGGTGGGTCTATAAATCACCCAGGGTCACGTCACAGTCCAGACCAACAGCACTCAGCACTTGGCTTTACAAACCACAAGCACAGCATTGATTTCAAATTCAGAAATTCCACTGCAATTTTAACCAACCTGTACAGACATGAAATAAGTCAGATGAAAGGATATGGAGAGAAAGTGGGAATACAGTATGGAGTTGGATGATCAGCTGAATGGGACAGCAGGCTCAAAGGGCTGAGTAGCCTACTCCTGCACCTAGTTTCTTATGTGTTCAGGGCAAGTGGGATTGAACCTGGAGCCCCTGTCTCACAGGTAAGGGCACTACTACATTACGCCATAAGACTGTCAGAAATACTATAAGTCTGCTAAAGAGTGGGACGTGTTGAAATGTTTCACCTCGCACTGATCTGGACAAATGCAAGAACAGCAAATTTCAAACCTCCCAACTATTTGTACTGCAGGGGAATGTGGTGAAGAGAAATGTTTTTCACTCCCAGAGGGCTGCAAGTCTTTAAGGGCCGAGATAGATCCCTGATTTAAGAAGGGAGTGTTATATATCTCTGTATTCCTTCATGGGATGAGGGCAGCGCTGGCCAGGAAGTATTTATTGCCCACTCCTAATTGCCCAGAGGGTAGTTAAGAGTCAACCACATTGCTGTGGGTCTGGAGGTCACATGTAGACTAGACCAGGTAAGGATGGCAGTTTCCTTCCCTAAAGGGCATTAGTGAACCAGGTGGGTTTTTTTTCCAACAATAGATTCATAGTCATCATTAGACTCTTAATTTTTAAAAACTTGAATTCAGTTCACACCATCTGCCATGGCAGGATTTGAACCCATTTCCCCAAAACATTACCTGAGTCTCTGGGTTAACAATCCAGCAATAATACCATTAGGCCATTGCCTCTCTCTTAGTAATTCAGTATTTTCAGTAATTTATTTGGTATGTAGTCATATAGTAATAACATCTTCTGTATTTGAGGTAATATTTAACCATTCCAGACTTCTGCATATATATCAAGAAGAATTTTATTGAATGGTGGAGCAGGCCCAAGGGGCTGAATGGCCTTCCCTGCTCCTGGTTCTTAGCCCAGCAGAGCTGCCAACGATAGCAGCCTGAAGTTTTCATCACATGACCCATTCCTGTTTGTAAACGCCCCACCATTGGTCCCCCGATGTGTCCTCCCTCACACCCTCCAATCAGTCAGAAAACAAATCAACCCTCCGCCATCCAAGTTTGAACGTTAACTGTCGCTCAAATATCCTGTTTTCACTAATCTGTCAGAAACATCAGTATAGAATCTGGGGAAATTAGATAGAAGAGTAGCCGTGATCTCGTGGGATAGTGAGACAAGATCGAGGGGCTGAATGGCTGTATCCCTGCGCTTATTTCTTACCTTCATACCCCAGGAATGGCACCAAGACTTAAAACCCATGAATGGTTACAGCACAGGCCATTCAGCTCATCACTTCTGTGCCAGCTCCATACAGGGGCTACTTGGAGCAACCTATTCATTTTCTCTATTGCCCTGCAATTTCTCCCCCTCTCACCAGGTGGTTGTCCAAAATCAATTGAATCTGCCTCATCTGTGCTGTCTCAGACCTGATCCTAACCACTCACCACACAAGGGAACACTTTACCCCTGGGCCATAGAGTCATACAGTACGGAAACAGACCCTTTGCTCCAACCTGCCCATGCTGACTAGAGTTCCCAAACTGAACTAGTCCCATTTGCTTGTGTTTGGCCCACATCCCCCTAAGCCTTTCCTGGACATGAACCTTTCCAAACACTTTTTAAATGTCTCTTGTAGTTCTTTTGCAAGTCATCTGTTTCTCAACCCTGCACCAATAGCAAAGACCTCTCCTTTGGGAGACGATGACCTAGTGCTATTATCACTGGACTGTTAATCCAGAGACCCAGGGAACATTATGGGGCTGGGTTCAGATCCCACTTCAGCAGAGGGTGGAATTTAAATTAAGTAAAAATCTGGAGTTGAGTCTAATGATGACCATGAAACTGATATCAATTGTTGGAAAAAACCCATTTGGTTCACCAATGTCCTTCAGGGAAGGAAACGTCCATCCTTACCTGGTGTTAACTACAATGTGGTTGACTCTTAACTGCCCTCTGGGCAGTTGGGTTCAATGCAGACCACAACCAGTCATACCCCGATCCTGTGAATGAATTAAAAAAAACACTGCTTTGATCCCTTTTGCCTTTGAACTCTTCAATCAAATCTCCTCTCAACGTTCCCCTCTCCAAGGACAACCAGCCCAGCTACACATGAGTATTGAGATGAAATGTGTATATTGCTCACGAGCTCCAATTATAATCCACTGTCAGCAAAGGAAATGAAATCTGTAAGATATACAATCATAACTGTATCTATCTGATAGGTGATTAGTATAGATTCCATGGAGTGTCTCACCATACAATGTAGGAGCCAGACCAAGAAATAAGGAGCCTAGTGTCTGGATCCTGTACTTGTATAAGATTGACGCACAGTGGCTCAGTGGTTAGCACTGCTGCCTCACAGCGCCAGGGACCCGGGTTCAATTCCAGCCTCAGGCAACTGCCTGTGTGGAGTTTGCACATTCTCTCTGTGTCTGCGTGGGTTTCCTCTGGGTGCTCCGGTTTCCTCCCACAGTCCAAAGATGTGCAGGTTGGGGTGGATTGGCCATGAGAAATTATCCATAGTGTACAGGGATGTGCAGGCTGGGTGGATTGGCTGTGGGAAATGCAGGGTGACAGGGATAGGATAGAAGGCTTGGTCTGGGTAGGATGCTGTTCGAAGGATTGTTGCAATTTGATGGGCCAGATGGCCTCTCCCCATAGGGATTGTATGATCCTACAGAGGGGGAACTCATCTGTATAAAAGAAGGAACGGGCACAGAGGTCGGCCGTTTGGCCCATTGAGCCATTGGCAGCGAGTTTACTGAAACAGCCTGGGGAGGGGAATCTGAAACGTGCTGATGTGGAGTGAGTGGCCAGGTGCTGTGTTGTTGTGATTTTGATGTTTGATCCGGAATGCAGCGGGAAGATGGACAAAATCCATCAGAAACCTAGGGGGAGTCTGGGAGATGGAAGTGTTTCTGCAGAATCCTGAGGCATTGTGTGTTCTGTGTCCATATCCCTTTCTAACCGGTGCACCCTCCCCTTCCCTCACCATCTTCCCATCTCCCTCCTCTGGCCTCCCTCCAATTTCCTCTCCTTTCCTCCCCCACCTTTCCCGTTACCTCCTATCCACTATCCTCCCCACTGCACTTTCTCCATCCCTCCCTCCCCTCCCTCTCTCCCCCTCCCCGCCTTTCCTCCCTCTCTCTCTCCCCTTCTCCTCTCGCTCGCTCGCTCGCGCTCTCTCTCTCTCTCTCTCTCTCCGTCCCTCCCTCAACCCTCTTCCTCCCTCCCTCTCTCTCTCTCTCCCTCCCCTCTGTCTCTCCCTCCCCTCCGTCTCTCCCTAACCCTCTGTCTCTCCCTCTCCCTCCCTGCCTCCTTTCCCCTGCATTGTTTCTGTCCCTCCCTCAGGTTATTCAGAACCAGCTTGGTGAGGACTTGCTGCAGGAGCTGATTAATTTCTGCCTGGGCTACATGGCCCTCATTAAACTGCCGAGGAAGAGGTAACGACTCCCCATGGCCCTGGGCCTCGGGAGGGGCTGGGGTTTGGGGAGGGGGTGAATGGACAGAAGAGGATGTGACTGGCGGCAGGGAGGAGAGGGGGGAGGGGGCGTACAAATGGGAATTTGTCGGGATTGTGAGGGGCAGGTGTTCGGGGTGGGTGTGGAGGGATTTCCTTGTGTTCACTCCTCCAAAGGGGTGGCACAGTGACTCAGTGGTTAGCACTGCTGCCTCACAGCGCCAGGGACCCAGGTTCAATTCCACCCTTGGGCGACTGTCTGTGTGGAGTTTGCATATTCTCCCCGTGTCTACATGGGTTTCCTCCCACAGTCCAAAGATGTGCAAGTTAGGGTGAGTTAGCTGTGGGAAATGCAGGGTTACAGGGATAGGGTTTGGGTGGGATGCTCTTCAGAGGGTCAGTGTGGACTCAATGGGCAGAATGGTCATGGTTCTATGAAATACTGATCCTGTTTGTTCGATCTTCTCCTCTTGCCCAACCACTGCACTAGCAGAGGAGCAGGACAGCCAGTGTGCTGAGAATCCATCGTTCTCTAACACTATGCCTCAAAACCACTTTGATGGCTGTAAGAACAGGCCCGGTGACAGTGGTGTAGTAACATTATCACTGAGCTTGTAGTGAGGCCAGTTTGTGTCCCACCCCAGGCAGCTGCTGGGGTTTCAGTTCAATAAAAAGACAAAATGAGCCTGTAGTTGAAAGCCCGTCAGTGACTATTCCCAAAACCTACTCGCTTCACTCGGAGCAAATCTGGCCTACATGTGACTCCAGACCCATAGCAATTTGTGGACTCTTAACTGCCCGTCTGAAATGGCAAAACAAGCTGCTCAGTTCAGGGGTGGAGCAACATTTTGATTAGCTGGGCCAGTGGGCTGAGGAGTAGCAGATAGAATTTAATGCAAATAAACGTGAGGTGTTTGGTAAGACAAACCAGGGCAGGACTTACACAGTTAATGGCAGGGCCCTGGAGGAGTTTAGTCGAACAGAGAAACCCAGGGGTGTGGGTGTATAGTTCCTTGAGTGTGGAGTCGCAGGTAGACAGGGTGGTGAGGAAGGCGTTTGGTACGCTAACCTGCGTTGGTCAGTGTATTGAATATAGGAGTTGGGCCATCATGTTACAGCTGAACAAGACATTGATAAAGCCACA